GACTCATAGCGACCCTATAGGACTGAGTAGAACTGCCCCATAGGGTTTCCAAGGCTGTCAGTCTTTATGGAAGCAGACCGCTTCATTTTTTTTCCTGCAGAGTGGCCGGTGGGTTCGAACCACCAGCCTTTTGGTTAGAAGTTGAATGCTTTAGTCATTGCTCCACCAGAGCCCCTTTAGTTTATGGATAAAGCGGTGTGTTATGTCCTCCAGCAGTGAAGGGGAATTCAGATTCTCTGTGGAAGCACAGGCAGGGTGGTTTTGAATCTCCCTTCTATAATCATAATATAGGCTTCTCCTGGGAGGTGTGCTCTGCCTAGAAGGGCCAGGGTTTGGTTCCAGGACTGGCTCTGCTTTGGACCTTGGATTCATACTGCATCCTCTGACCAGGTCTCACTATTCTTATGTATTAGCATATGTCAGTCTGGCAAAATTAGTTTTGTCTTCCTGACAGTGTTATTGTAAGGAGCAAGTGGAAAAATATCTGTTAACATCCTTTAATTTATGGAAGCCATTGCCAGTGTAAGGTAGTGTCATTGCCAGTGTTATCACCAGTTTTTAGAGCCTACCCATAGGAGCTCATGACATCAGGATGCTGCACATTTAAGGTGTTGTTTGAGAAGTACACCCACCCCCACTTGGATTTTCACAGTAATTGCTACCTTAGGGTCAGCATATATGTCAGCTATTTTTAGCCAGAAGCAGGTGCAGGGACTAGTGGCTTGCTCTGCATCTTGAGGAAGTAGAAACAACCAGAGTGGGTAACGGGTTAGATACAGGGGTTAGCGCCAAGTTTTTCCAGCCTGGGTAAGTGGGTGGATGATGGAGTGTCAAACAAGACAGGCCAGTCAGGAGAAGGAGCAGGGTGGAAGGAAGGTGCTGGGTTTGGGTCCGGCTATGTTGAGCCTGGAGTACCTGGGTGTTTCCAGGTAGGAATTCACTGCATGTCCGTGTATCTAATTGATTTCTCAGAAATCAAATGCAGATCGTATTTTAAATGCCCTCTCCTCTTTGCTTCCATCTAAGAAGCAACTTAAGAAATTTCGCTCATCACTAGGCTTCTCTGTCTGGCATATGTAAGTCGTTAGTGAGGGACCAACCGAATCCCTGTGTCGGCACTGGTTTCTCACCTTAGAATCTTGCTCTTGTTCAGAC